TGTTTATTGCCGTTTTTTTGGATTGAGGTTGTAGGCCCATGAACAAAAAGCCAATTGAGTTCTCTGCATTATCCCAGTGGAATGTACACTCTGTTGGGCATATGTGGATTTTGAGATCCATCTATAAGATTATATTTATAATCAAAGAATATATATTATATCTTTAACAAAACAAAAAGAAATTATCAAAAGTATTTTAAATAAAATTTTTAACAGTATGGAAGAAATCTAAATATAATGTAGCATAATTTTTTTAAAATGAGAAAAAGCAAATAATATAATAAAATAAAATAAATAACAAACATAATTAAAAAAACATAATTAAAATTATACATATTAGAAATCAATGTAATTATGAATTATATAATTAATAATTGAATAAATTAAAATACACTTTATAATTTTAAAATTATTTTTAATAGGAATTGGTAAAGTCTTAACAAATTAGTAAAAAATATATCAATTTTTGACAATAGGTCACATTATAGAGAAAATCTTTAGTGAGTTTAGAAAATAGATAGAGTTTCAAATTTGTTAAAAGTTTGTAAAAACATTTAATAAAATATTCAATAAACAAGATATAAACTATCTATTAAAAAAAAACATATATTATTTATTTTGCTAATGATATTAAATATTAGATAAAAAATTAATTCTTATTAATTATATCTAGTCAAAAAAAAACAATTATTTAAATATTTGAATAAATTATTTAATTGAAGTATAGTATAAAACAATTTCTTAATTTACTTAATTTTAAGTTATTAAATATTATTTAAAGCTTTAATATAGGTTTTGAATTTACTGTATATACAGTATATTAAATAATATTAAAAGGTATAAAGAATGAATTATTTATTAAACCTTGTATTTAATTCTTCTTAGCAAAAAAAACATGATTATAATAAATAAAGTATAATAATTATTTGTTTCTAAAAAAAATACTTGATATTTTAAATTAATACGTAATAATCCAATTAATAAACATATTTTTATTTTTGCAATTAAAAAAAAAAGTTGAATTTTTATAATATTTTTAAAAAAAATATTTAATCTAATATCAGCTTTGTTATTTTAATAATAATAATATTGGCTTCTTAAAACTTAACTATAATTTAATTAGCTTGAATTGTATTTTTTAAATATCAAAAACTGGTTTATTTTATTATTTTTTTTTTTATAACATAAAATAAAATACTATAAAGACTTAATAAACTTTAAATAAACATTATTTTTATATGTTAATATTTTTTAATAATTTTAATTTTTTTCTAATAAATTGAAAATTTGTTTTTATATTTGTTTTCTTTAAAACAAAATTTAATATATTTGTATATAAAAAAGAGTTATTATAAACTATAAATATAAATTATACTGGAATTTATATAATTATAATTAAAAATTGAATAAAATATTTTTTATAATTTAATTGTTGTTAATATTATATAATAAAACAGATACAATTTGACTTTTTTTTTTTTAACCACTTGTAAAAACATATTACTTAAAAAAATTAATTTGTATTATTTTTATATTTATCTATTAAATAATAATTTTAAGATAAAATTTCAATTGTGAAGTGATAAGGAGCTTGGGTAAAACTTAGCATGTTACCATTCCTACTCTATTAGAAATCAAAGTTAAGTAATTTAAAAATAGTGACAGGATTTCTACACCCTTGAATTCTTACCAGTATATAGGTGAGGTGTAAGTTTATATTTAACATTAACGATATTTAATAGATTGTTCATGCATAGGATATATGTAATCTACAATGATTAATAAAAACCGCACTTTGCCTCCTTAAAATATTTTCTTTGATATGTGTGTGATTGTCTTTACGTCATATTGCAGACAATCAGGTAGAAAAATCACTTGACTTATAAATACTTATAAATATATAGATCTTGTTACACTAATCAATTGCCTATTGTTTGTTTTGGTCTTATGCGTCGCACTATTCTCCCGGTTGAAAACGAAACAAGAAACATGAACGGTATAATTAAAAATGTTACTTAATGTACATTTGTATAATGAACGCGTTACCCATGTTATTCTGTTGTAGATCAAAAACGAAAGTGTTGCGAAAATTCAGAATTATCTGTTTTTATATCTGGAAATATTTCTGGCATCGATAGTGATGTTTTGGAACCTTGGTTGCGACAAACAACAAAACTAAACTTCGAACACTTATTAAAAAGAAATCAAATGGATGGGGGCACATCCATTTTAACACGCGTAATGATGCATCCATGTTCCTAAATGAAATGAAACATAAGTCTCTCGAGGGACCACATAAATGTGCAGTCACGTTTTCTGCTGCAACAAACTTTAAGAAGAAGAAAGTCGTTGAATACGTAGGTTTTTTAAAATAACCGGTTTAAATTGCATATGTCTTGACATTTATTTATCTTAGAAAACCAAACCCGAATAAACATCAGAAGTCGATAAGAACAAGGCCCAATATGCATTGTTCGATAATAACGAGGGGGCTGTATTGAAAATTATTTTATATTATTTAAAATTATAAGCAAATTAAATCATATATCTCTTTGTTTAGCTTCTATGTAATAAAAGCTTATACTCCAGGAGTTCGTAGGAAGGATCAAATCCAAATCCAAGTTTCCGACGATGATAAATCTGTCGTTATTCTCGCGGAAAATCAAACGGACAATTCCGAGTTTACGGAAATTAAGAATAATCTTTCCAATAAATTCGAAATCAACGTTGTTCTACCAAAAACGTAAGTTATAGTATTACAGTAATTTGGTAATATTTGACTATTAAATTAATAGTTATTTAACACGATGATTTCTGAAATAGGATATACACGGATTATCCTGTGGATGTTAATATCGAATATGGATAATAATTTTTGAAGGTGGACAGGGATTTTTCGGATTCTATAATTGTGCTCCTTAAATTACATTGTATATGTATTGTTTAAAGTAGGTGCTGAAAAAAATACATCTATCATTTTCATCGCTTTCAAAAATAATTATCCATATGGCATAACTACCTTAAAGTTTAAAATAATGAACAGCGGGAGAAAAATTATGTTGATCAATTAACTGCCAAAATTTTGTTAACGTCACTAGTTGTATCGAATATATCAACTTGTCTCTAGTCAGTCCTAATAAAAAACTACCCCAGTTCCGCCCTTGTAAAAAAAAGTTAAATAGGGTTGAGTCGATATAAGAGAATCCTTTTTATCTTGTTTCTTATAACAGTCCTAGTTGTCCCAATAAAAAGTAAAAGTAAACAGATCATCCACAGACCTGCATTGATCGTTTTCTGATCTTTCAATTCACTTGGTTCATTTGGGTGTTGTCATCCCTGTTTTACGCAACCTGTGCCATATGTGAATGTCATTACACTTTTCTGAGGTTACCACGTGAAGTCCTCTCGCGCACATATTGTCTAAATAAACCTTCTCGGATATAAACATCGCATTTGCTTTTTGTTGCCACAACGTAGGAATGTTGCAAATTTTAATTGCTGTGTCCTTTTGCATGCGCGCGATTTCTTTATTGTTGTAAATGCTATTATCCCCTAGTCGTTCCTCCTGTATTTTGTATTTTTACATGCGACCTTTGATCAATTAGGACATCATTATGTTTTCGCACCACTGTATCGCACTCAGGTTCTAGGACGGTACTCTCGGTAGCATCTTCATGCACGATCAGGATTTCTTTGGTTGGATTCTTCATCCAAATCGTCGTATGAATCATCATCATCGTGCGGAGTGCTTATTTCACAAAGACGTCGGAGTAGCTTTATTTTAAACTTGCGAAGAAACACCACCATCAATTGTTGCCATGTTGCAGGAATGTTGCGCGATCTGAACGTTTCATATTCGGACACATGTATTTCTCAAGTGATTTCCAATGCTGTTCCGTTTGTGGTCATTTCTTTTTCGTTTTTTATCTGCATCCTGATGGATTGAGACATTATTGCCGGTATAATGACATGTCGCATTACCTCAGTGTTCCCCAATTCTCGGATGCCTTTAACGGAGACTCTCTGTTCAACCGCTAATAACTCTTTTACTTGCACTCTTTCCGGTTCTCTGTTGGTTTCAATTTTATCGAACTCGTTCATCATTCCCACTTGGCTCCCGATAGTTGATAATGGTAAGCCTCCTATTAATACCGAGACACCCTCCATTGATGTATTTTGATCCGTTCATCCCGTTTTTTTCTTGTTTTCTGCACACCTCAATCTTTTCGGCTTCTACTCTTAACATCTCTTCCCAGTAATAACCACGTGACGTAAGCGGTTCTTCCCTTTGAACCAAACGCACGCCAAGATCTGAGACGGTGGGATATATTCTTGGAGAGGAAGACTTCCTTCTCCTCAGTCTTATTGACCGATTCCAGATCCTCTTCGGTCATTGTCAACGTTTCTTCCCGATGGGAGGGATACATGATAAAGCCCGAGATCTTCGGCCGTGTTTTATCATCGAAGCCGGAATTTTTACGCATCTCACCTGTCACCTCTCCTTTCCCTTTCTGACAGGATATCATTCGTTCTTCGCCTTCGTTAATTTCATCTTCCTCATACTGGCTTCCATCTCGCAAGGCACTTTCTTCATTTTCATCACAGGATCCTCCGTCATCGATCTCGTCAGTAAGTGTTTCATCGGTCTAATCATCATTCGAGATCGGGACCTCTTCTTGTTTTATCACAACAGCTTCCCATCTGCACGTTCATCTCTTTGGGTGGAGATGTATCATTCAGGGTCTTGGAATTTAGGTTTCAACCTGATTCTCAGGCGACCATCCCTCGTCGGCCTCGACTCTGACACAACCTTCCCTTTCCTGCTCTCGCTCTTTCGGAATAATCCATAGTCTTAGCTCGACGTCTCCTTTCCTCACTTTCACTATCACTTTCGGCATCAGCTTCAGACTTTGTTGTTGCGCTGAGTATTTCCTCCGGGGGTGGTTGCATTAGCAACGGCAAGTGAAATCATTATGTCTCTCCTTAGTCCGTTCACCACCATCTATCTGGTCTGTTCCCTATTTTAATCGTACTCGGGCAAACCTATGAACGTATTCAATCACTTTTTCGTTCTTTCCATGTTTTAGTTTCTTTATTTTCTCCCTTGCCAGGCGCTGTTGTTCAAGCGAAGGCTGTATAAACATCGGTACAATGGTCTAGGTAAATTGATCTTGATGATCTTCGTACTATCTCTATGCTATTTCTCTAGATACCTGATTATTTTTTTCAACTTTTTATTATTTGCCCAGTTTTTGCAGTCGGCGGCTTGGTTGTAGAATTTTATTCACAACAGTGGGTCTTCTCCTCGCCCTTGAATTTGGATATTTTATCTTTACAAACTTCCTTTTCCTTTCGAATTGGTACAAGCATGTCTAACTTTTTCCGGAGGTCTTGACGTAGCAAGGTATCTCATAATCCTTTGTATCATAAAAAACCTAGTACATTATCGCCGTTGATTAATAATAAAGGACTAGTCACGGGTTTTCCAAAGAAGGTAAGGATTTTGTTTTTAACAATGTGGTTTTTCAGGGATAATGGTAAATTGGCTTTCGGTTTTTCAGGTGTAAACGACTTCTCTTGGGGGGCGAATAACGAATGTAGAATAACAGGTTCCCACGAAGGCACTGTTTTCGTCTAATTCTTGTTTTTTGCTTGTCTTTAATTAGATTTTGACTAACACGGATTTCCTTTCTAAAATTGTACGATCCTCGTTCGCACAATTTTATCGGGGGACGTCCTACATCGGCGAGTCAGTCGCTTGAATAAGGCCAAACTCGCGTACGCCAAGGTAAATTATTTCTTCTTGTCGAGGCGTGTAATTTGACTTGATCGAGTCTTCTCCTACTGAGAAACGTTCCCTTTCTTTCCCGTCGCCGGTACTTCCCTTGATAATCCTTACCACAATTCCCTTTAGTGGTATCCCGATTATCCTTTCCTTACGCGGCGAGTACTTGAAAAGGTAAGTTTTTAATTAAGCAAAATACTTTCTAATAACTTCTATTATTACGTCATTTAGATAAAATATATAACAGTCGGTCGACATGTCACAGATAATCACGTTACATTTGCACATATATAAAAAATTTTGATCGACACCAAGTTTAATAGGAAAAATTCGCGAATATAAGATTCTTTTGGAATTTGTGAATTGCTAGGAGGTTACACATGGTTCTTCTTTTATAGTAACATTCTTGTAGTATCTTATAAACAGTCATAAAAATTTTACTTGTGGTTAAAGGTACCATTAAAAATAATCTTGAGCTTGAAGTTAACCTTTACCAGGTAAATCGTTTGGTCGCCAAACTCATGAATACAGACAAAACAAGGCATTTATTACTACTTTTTCTAATATGTAACATGTTTTTAGCTATTACTAATACACTTCTCTATTATAAACAGCCGTAAAAATCCAGGGTTGCAGTGATATTTGTTTAGGAAGGTATGTAGAAGATTAATTTTAGCAATGGTCAAACGATAGAGATGTTTCTTATAGAAATGCAGAGGGTAGACAAAAGTTTATGGACAACTTTAAAAATTAAAAATTAAATTAAATTAATAGAAAATTAAATAAACTTTTAAATAAAAAAAATTATGCAATAGTTTTTGAGAAAATTAAATTTAATTTTTTTTTTTTTTTTTAGTAGGTAAACATCATTTCTTTATTTGATTTGTATATTAAAAGTATACATCGTGAAAGAAACATCTCTTATTTGTAAATACAGTGAGATTGCCTACAGAAATAATATGACTAATATTGAAAATAAAATTTAAAACAATATATCTTGTCAGGTAGTACCGAGCAGCTATGTTTACCTACTCAGTGTTGAAAGAAATAAGATTGGAATAGCTTTGAATTAGATTAGTAATGCATTTAGAGAAGTTGAAATTGCTTTGAATATAGATATCTATGATCAAGGTAGGTAGGTCAATTGTTGTTGTTGTTGGCTCTTGTATAGATGTGATTTTTGTGAATTTGATTTGGGAGTTGCTTGATTGTTTTTGATTGTGTTGCTAGAGGATTTGTCTTTCTATTTTATACCATTTCGTGGAGAGGTTAAGTCTAATATTTGTATAAATTTGAAATATATATATAGAATAAAAAGAACTTTTGAGATATTTTTTTCTTCTTTTAAAGACAATTGGCAAGAAAGTTTAATTAAGATTTTAAAGAGGACTTGCTTATGAGACTCTGAAAAAGAAGGAATGATTTGTATAGGAGTTGGTTGTATAGATCTAGGAGTAAGAATAAGTTCCTAAATTATTTAGCATATAAAATTTTGCAGATCAATTATGTTTCTTTTGAGAGGACATAATTATTTATTAATTACTTTAATAGGAATATAATTCAAAAAACACTTGAATCAAGTAGTCTAAATTGCAAAAAATCTTTGTAAATAATTTTTTTTGATCTTATATTTAAAAAAAAAACTTTTTTAATAATTAGAAATATTTCAATTATATTCTTATCTTTAATTTAGAGACAAATCTTTATCTAGGAGCTTAATATAGTCAGGTTACTATTTATCTATTTTAATTAAATAGTTGCACTTATATTTGAATAGTTGAATTATTTTATAATACTTGAGTTTAATTAGATCTATAAATCTAAAATATGCTATAAATAATGAGAAGTTTAAAATTTATCTGATTTTTCTTTTAATGTTTCTGCTAATATACTGATATTATGTTTGTTTTTTATAATTTTTATGAAATTTGTTTTCTAGTGCTTTATATTCTTTTTGATGATTTTTTCAAGAAATTTATTTTTTGTAAAAGATTCAAAAAAGATATATTTTTAAGAAGGATTTTGATAAAGATAGCAAAGTATAGTTCCTGAAGAATTGAACTCTTATGCTTATAAATAATTTTATTTAAGAAACTAATTACATTCTGAACATTTGTATAGAATTGACTTAATTATACTATTAGATCAATAACAATGTCATGCTTATTTGTGAAGAGTTCATTTTTATTAGTTATATCTTTGTATATATTATTATTTATTGATTATTAAGAGCTCAGTTCACTTTCTATAAGCAGATTAAGGACTCTCTGTTTTTTTGAATCTAGAAGTTTGAGAGATAATGAACTTGTTAAACTGTTTGAAATAGTGAATAGTTTTGAGGTTTGATTAAGTTATTTCCAAGACTTGATTTCTTGTTCATTATAGTTGTTTCTTTTGTAAAATAGAAAGAAAAGTTTGCTTTCTAAGAAATTAAAATTGTATTTAATCCAATGACAAGTTTTGTAAAGTCTTCAAGTCTATTTGTAATTTTTTGTTAAATTCCATTAATAAGTCTATATTGCATACTGATATTATTTGTCCTATGTGATATATGGAAATATCAATTGCTAACATAGAACTGGTGAATTTGATAGTATTGTCTAATTTGTTCTAATTGATTTCAAGTATAACAGCTAATAAATAATCATTTAGTTGTATCATGTTATTTGTATTTTGATAATCTGATGTTATATTGATACTGATGTAATATTTTATATACAGCTTTTGCTTAATTGATATGGCTTTTGTAGTTTGAAAAACTTATATATATTTGTATTATTTGATGCTTATATAACTAATATGTGATGATGAGAAATAAATTGCTTTAGGATTTTTTTGAAATTTAGAACATTGGAATTTTTTCTTTAGGACTTGTAAAGGAATATTAGTTGTTAAAATTTAATTTTTTATTATAAACTGGTGTATTTAGTGATGGTGAAATAATTTATTATACTGTATATTTTTTTAAGGCTAAATCTGTTTTCACTTTTGATTATATTAACTTGGTTTCATGAAAGATGGAAGATGTAGTTGAGATTATTATCTTGCATCTTTTTTATAAGTCTTCCTTATACTTGAACCAAGATTGTTTTTTTCCTGACTTAAAAATCATCAAGATTGTTTTGGTTATTGCTTCTCTTATTGTTAATAGTCAGAGTAGCTGCTATATATGGATGTAAGAAATTGGAGTTGATTGAAACTTGTTTAAAGTTGATAAAAGCAGTGTTTATTTATGTGGAGTTTTTGTCAACACTTGAGTTTTATAGAAGGACAATTCAGAATTTGAAAAGTTGATTAATAATAAAATGAATATTGTTAGCCTGGTAAAAGTCACATGGTATAGTTACATACTGTGACTATCGCATCACGTACCCTCAAAATTTAGGATAGCATTAGTAATTAGCATAGGGAATGTAGTCATAGAGGCTTATGTAACTTACCCATAGTTTATTTT